TATTCGCTGCAAGTACTTACTGAAAATCTTTAGTTTACGTAACGTATACATAATTGATTTTCAGTACTGATAGTGAATATAGAAACGCAGCCTGTTTGAAGAAACGGCACGTGCAAATTGAACGGTCTAAAAGATAAAATGCATCGTTTCCAGGTCATAAAGGATTTGAAATATCGATTAAATCATACTAGACCTCTGACCCCGCCGTTAAAGGATGTTGCCTGGAATTACGGCACTAACACCGACGCCCTGCGCAAATTTCTAGATCACTGGTCGAACAATTATAATTTCGAGGAACGTGAGAGATATATAAATCAGTATTCACATTTTAAAACAAATATCCAAGGTAGGTGTACGATCATCGATGGAAAAGTATAGCGCGTATTCTTTCGGATTACCGAGCACTTGCCGAACAGCTTGACGCTTTGTGGTTCAATTTAAGAGCCGGCAAACTTTTTCTGTAAAAGGCCAGATAATAAGTATTTCATTTTATTATGTAACCGCTCGTATAACAAAGATTTCAGAATATAATGCTGTTTATATCAGACAAATAAGTATGTGAATTATTTCTGGTCAGAGAACGAAATTTAATTCCTATTTATATCAACCGATAAGGGGTATCAATATCAAAGTTAATTAAGCAAGTGTTCTCATTGCATCATTTTATTTCTTAATATTGAATTATAGAGGCTATCATAAATATGTGTCCTATATTTATTGCAGGATTAGATATTCACTTCATCCATGTGAAACCAAGTACTACAGAGGGAAAACGCGTTTTGCCATTGTTAATTGTACATGGATGGTCCGGCTCCATAATGGAATTTTACAAGATCATTCCATTCCTGACTTCACCAAAACCCGAGTACGATTTTATATTTGAAGTGGTAGCACCTTCGCTGCCTGGATTCGGTTTCTCCAGCGCAGCTACAATACCTGAACTTTCGGCTCTTCACATGAGTGTGGTTTTGAAGAATCTCATGTTGAGGCTTGGTCACGATAAGTATTACGTTCAAGGCGGTGATTGGGGTGCCTCCGTCATTCACGCTATGTCATGTTTATATCCGCAACAGTAAGTTTATTCTCTAAAGTTTATCAGTTAAACCTAATGTGGCGCTTAGCATTAAAGACACAACAATCGTATGTTGCATGTTATGCAAATTGTAGCGTCTTGGGTATGCATTCCAACTTGTGCCTAATACTCAATAAATGGAATTTCCTGAAATCAGCATTGCGCCTTTCTTCTTTCTTGCCTTGGGCGAAAACTAAAAAAGCTGTTGGTTTCGATGGTTTCGGGCTCCTGGCAGAGACTGGATACTTTCATATCCAAGCTACAAAGCCAGATACAGTTGGTACGCGACATATTACATAATTATACAAAAATATTTAATTAGGCCCGTATTCTGAACGCACTTTTATCGATAAGATATATGCGCATTTATCAATAAGAGTGCGTTCAGAATACGGGCCTTAGCGCTTATAATTGATCGTTATAAATTGAATATAAGAAGATTTATGCGCACACTGAACGAGCGAAAATCCAATATCTTCAGAGCGTCGTGTGTTCCAGGGGTCGGTCTAAACGACTCACCTGCTGGTTTGGCAGCGTATATCATCGAGAAATTTTCAACCGGCACAAATCCGTCTTACAAAAAGAGGGCAGATGGTGGATTTCTGGAGAAGTTTACGTATGACGAGTTGATCGATAACCTGATGATTTATTGGGTATCGAATAGCATTACTACAGCCATGAGAATATACGCTGAACTGTTTACTAAGTCGAACTGGTCCTTGTTGACACTCCTGGAATCGTACGTAATTGTCATCGCGAATTGCTCTTATTATTGCAGCGTAACAAGCCACAAATATCAAGCGTCATTTTCTTTGCAGAACGCCGATAAAGGTTCCCAGCGCTTGCGCGCAGTTTCCCCACGAAATCATGGAGCAAAATCCAAGGGTATTGAGACAACGATTTGTGAATCTTTTGCGCGCTACCAAAATGCCTCGAGGTGGCCATTTTGCGGCATTCGAAGAACCCGAATTACTCGCAGACGAGATATGGAACTCTGTCAACGAGATGGAGAAGTGGAACAAGAAGCACAGAGAAACAGTCTCAAGGCCGTAACCAAGGGGGGTCCGAGAGGGTCCGGGCTTCCCCCGAAACCTCCTCTGAAATTCGATTCCTGTACCTGAGACCAAGACGGAGGGTCTGTTCCTGATCTCCAAGGTGGATACTTTCCTCCCGTGAAAGCTACACCTCATCGACCGGCCAACCCGAGTACCACGCATCCATGCAGCTCCAACCTGAGCACTCTGTGGTGACGCACATACTGGCCTCGTCTTTAAGACTCCTCCCCAAGCTCTGCCTTCTCGAATCTGACTGTTCGGGACGAATAATACACAACATACCACATTAACATTACACCGTGATATCCTACACAAATCACGCACGTCCACCTATCCGTACACATCCAAGAAGTATTCTACTTGTATATAAAGCATGAATAAACCTAGCGAGATTTTACCTAACTGAACGATTCGTTATTGTGGGAACCGACGCACCTTCACCTGAGATCCTACCCCACAAGCAATATATATATTTTATATTCATTATTGTTTAAAGGGTGTGTTCTCGAAAGGGATTCTCAACTTTTTATTTTGGATAAGTTTAAGATACGTTTTAACAACTATTTTAACAATGTTTTTTTATTTTAACATACACAAGCCATCGATTTACCGTTTCTCGATTTTGAACGCTCATGTGTCTCGAGCTAATTCAGTTACTAAAAATTTTTTTAGCCATATTGTCCTCTGTAAAAGAGGCAGGACAAGGCAGAAGCCAATAACCAGGAGTCCGTCGGAGGGCACGATGAAGGACGGACGTGCTTCCGTGTGCTCCGCGTTATAAGTTCTAGTTGTGGTTTCTATCTTTCGAATTTTGGACTGCACTCAATGCGTGGCGATTCGCGGGGTGTCTCTGACCCGAGATATATTAATTTTTATATATATTTTGATGTGATATGTTGAAGATATCGGCAATTTTCACTTTGCTCTATGTGTTCGCTTATACAAGTGCCTCGTGGCACGTACCTATTATTGCCGAAATATTCCCGGGAAAAAATATTCATATCTGACAGTATATATTTATATATGAACATGTAAAACTTATATATGTTCATATATGTTCATATATAAATAAGATATGAACAGATATAAGTTTTACATGCCCATATCTAGATGCAATATAAATAGGTAAAGATAAGAATCTCGCTATAAAAATTTAAAAAAGCAGATTTAGATAAGAAATGTAGGTATATGGTTCAATGTGCGGAGAGCACTAGAAATATCAAATTTTTTTTTATTAGCATACCTGTTAGAATATGTCTGTTTGTCAAAATGGAACCACCACACAGTAATCTATTCACCAACTAAGAGTACAGCCACCCACGGCCATTGGCCTGGTAATGCGTATTCACCGTTGGGAATCAGACTACTTGTGCTATATATATATGGACGGTATAGTAGCTATAGCGGTATAGTAGCTATATATATATGGACGGAAAAGTTTAATATACATGCATAGTCTCATTCATTTGGCTGACGACGTACGTTTTATGAAAAGTCCTCTTTCTCGGCGTTTCCTTTCGAAAATGCACTTGGAACAATTAAAAAATTTCTTCGGAGTGGAAATCGACTTCTCGCTCAAATTGTTCGTCGTTTACATGAATCATTTTTTATGAACGTAAAGACAGTAACTTTATTACCACGGATTGAAATTTTAAGAAAATTACGTCCAAATGGCAGAGGACAAACTCCAGTAAAACGTGTTAAATACAAAAATTTTATATTAACTACAAAGGCACCAAATAATACTGTTTTATTAAAAACCGGCATAGTACTCCAAATCAACAATATAAATTTGCCACCAAATGGACATAAAAATGATATTGAAATCAGTGCGATTTTATCTTGGACAAGGAAAAATCATTATTCACATATCCTTGTGATTCGGCAGAAATGAAAATGTGGGTTGTGCGAAAAAATTCAAGAGTCGTTTTTAGTTGTCCTTTAAATGACGTAAGTCAAAAAATGGTCACCTTTGATTTGAGCACGACGGAAAAAGAGAAAATTTATACCATGCCCCTTCTTCACATGTAAACTATTACTTAAAAAATTCATCATTTTTCTCAAAATTAGTGAGAATCAATTAATACTTTATAATTATTTACTTATTGTATGTAACATTTCAAAAAAAAAGTGTGACAGTGAATCGACTATGAAAAGCTGCTAAAACTGCTCTATATAATTTCTACTAGATAGGATACTGAAGGTGAGTGAAAAACAACATAATTATATATATTTCTGAAAATAAAATAAATCAATCAATTTTTGACGAACATCCTATTTGCACATTGTATAGCTAATACGGTTGCGTCGGCACTGCTGGTTCATATGGTGGACGATGCAAAACAAACAGCGTTACTATGAAAATAACAAAAGAATAAAAATCTCATTATATTATGTCCCTCCGTATCTCTGCATGTCTAATTAATTGGTAAGCTTTTAGAAATTATAATAAATTTTAATTTGAATCTTGATTATTAAGATCGAACTTTAATATATTTTTATTGATTGTTTATTAGTCTTAATTTTTGTTTATTGTTACATTCATAGGTATATGTTTAGATAAAAGTTTATTTTATTTACTATTTTTGACAATTTCAAAAACTCTAAATTTTGTTTTCATTCCCAAATAGGTGAAAGTAAATTTTCTTCTCACAATGGATAAGAGAAAAGGAGTTTACAAATTAGTGTGCTTTATCACTGATGCAGGGAAAACAAAAAGCATTGACGTAATCCCATCCTCATGGGTTCGATGGGATGAGGATAAAGATTGTCTAGTTGTTCGTTTCATGCCGGGTCCATTTACAAAAAAAGACAGAAACATTAAAAAATATTATCAAACATTGTTATGTAGTAAACACATGCGTCGTGCACGACATAACTAAAGCGAATAAGAGAGATTGTCGGATGGCTCAGACACATATACACACACATTCACCTATAGGTACATCAATCAATTATATGTACAAATAAATAATTCAGTATCTTAGGGACGAGTTTCAACGCTCGCTAGATGTGGCTCCGGCGTTTTCGATCTTTCGTTGTTGTTGGACTGAGGTTCGGATAGAACACACACACTAATTATATGTAATATACGGCAAAGTATTTTATGCAACACGTGCATGGAAAGTGCCCCATTACGCACGCTACGCGTGCATGATAGACCACTTTCCAGGCACTTGCAACATAAAATAGGGAGTGTAAGCCGTGTGTAAAAATGAAAATTCCCGGGTGCGGTTACCGCACTCGCCTTCGGCTCGTGCGTAAACTCCGCACCCGGGAATTTTCATCTTACCTCACTTGTTACACAAATAACTATATTCGGTATAATATGTCTCACAGAACCAACGCAGTGTGCGTACAAAACGAGAGTGCACCGAATCGGGGGAATAAAAAGCAATATATATGTAAAAAGTAGCGCCACGATACGGCGAGAAACGCAAACAGAATTCATAGCATGGCGCGGTTTATAAAATAAAAGAAAAAGAATTATTATCAACTCTACTAAAGAAGAGCGCATTGATTAACGCTAGTCTTTACTCCAACAGTTGTCACGGCCGATTTTCGATTATTCCTCGTTACTTCTACGTGTACACATCGGTTACGTGGCCACGAAAGATCGCTCGAGATTTTGCCTTTCCTTCGAGACGAACATTTAAATTCTATACAAAGGACACAATTGTGAACATTGAATAAAGTGTGTGTCAAGTCAAAGCGACCCAAGGTCTACACCTCAAGGCGCTGTCGCATCCGAACAATCAGGTAGCGACTCAGGGCGATAGTCCCCCAGGGCGTCGTCGCTTACCGCTCTCACGACTCAGGGCAACAGCCCCTAAGCGAAATCATCGGCAACAGCGGTTAAGCGAAGTCACATACAATGCGCAACCAATCCATGTATGTATGCGTATATGCGTTCTCTTAATTCTTAATTGTTATTTTCTGTTTTTAATATTTAACGTTCACATTCTGTATTAAAACGATCTTTTCAACTGGTTTCTGTATTTGTTACGCATTAAATAAAGCGCAAGACGAAAATACGACGTAGATACTCGAGTAATATCTATACTGATCACATAACATTTTGGTGCCTCCTGTGAGGTTACAGCCCGCACATACAGAATTTAAGTATTAGCTATACACTTGACGGCTATTTAAACGTAAGTTTGTTCATTTGTATCAAGACTATTTCTCGCAAATACCATAATCATGTCCGATAGAATTAAACTTCTTACGCAAAAACGTACCACCTTAAAGTCTCAGATAACCAATCTGGCGAACATCCTCGACAAAGGTAGTTTTGACAATGCCAATTTAAGATTGCGAATTAACCGTTTAACGGTCTTGTATCACGCATTCGAAGATTTTAATGATGAACTTGTAGTCTTAGATCCGAGTGATGGACATCAAGAGGAGTTCACAAACATTCAAGATCGGTTAAATTCTACTCCCTCGCTAATAAGATTGAGGATATTTTGAATACAGCGAATATGTCAGAGGCGAGCGCAGGTACAACAAGCGAGGAAATTCGAAGCGAAAATGCAGTATCCGTAACTTCTGTCAAGAAACGGCGGTTCAAATTACCCGAGGCTCCTTTACCGACATTTGACGGTAAATATGAGAATTGGTTATCGTTCAAGAACGCATTTCATAATATGATCGGCTCGCAAGCGGATTTATCGGATGTAGATAAATTACATTACCTAAAATCGGCATTATATATATATATAATCGCTGAAGCTAACAAAATAAAGATTTTCGCGATCGACGGGATAAATGCTAAGGCATGGGAATTACTAGAACGCTCCTACGAGGTTAAGCAGATTTTAATCTTACGTCATCTTTCATTGATTAAATTATTAATTTGCCCGCGATAGACCAGGAAACTACAAGTGGTTTATCTAAGCTCGCGGATGACGCTCAACAACACGTCGCGTCGTTAAATGCTTTAGGAGTTTTGCTCAGCCCGGAAATAATTGTACATCTTCTGGAAAGTAAATTGCCAAAGAATACGTTGGAAAAATAGGAAGCGACTCTTGAGAGAGACGAATTCCCGAAACCGGATCTATTGTATGAATTTTTATATAAAACGACTTACATTAAATTAAGAAGTAGTCTACCACGTAAGATAGTTGGCTCACGATCCAGAGATCCCGAGTTCGAATCCCACCAAGGTAAGTGTTTTTTTCAAATACGAGAAAATATTTGTAATCATAGACTGCATCTTAAAAGACAAATTTAGTTAAAAAATAGTAATAAAATTTCGAAATAAATAATTTTTTTGTCGAGTGAATATTCGTTTTAAAGTATTATTATAATTCCTCTGGCATTAAGAGGACTGCAATCTTAAGTCTAGTGTCTCATGGTTAGAGGATATTTCTCTAGATTTTAAAATATCTTCTTGAGAC